AAAAAAAAAAAAAAAAAAAGCATAGGTCAGATTCGAAGCCCAGAGCGCAAAAGCTAATCGAGCATTCTTGACCGCTCAGCTATCGATGACAAACATTCTAACTGAGTCATTAGCCATACATGAACTGTTTAACCAGGTATGAGGGCTTTAATTAAAATTGGAAATTTTTATTCAAATTTTGTTGTTTTAATTGTGTTGTAATGGAAGATTATTGTTTTAGTGTGTATTGCTCGGAATTCCGCTTTGGCCTTCTATACTTAAAGAGGATATATTCTATATTCTCTGGTAATGTATAAGTTCTTTTTCATCAGTGCTTAGGTTACATATATCTGCTCTGTTCCCCCACAACCGCCACTCGTGGATACGACTATACCTATATATACGGAAGGGGGCCAACCAATCAGAGGCGTGTAAGAGAGAGAAAGGTTGTACTGCTATTTGTCTTTTGTCTCTCTCATTTCGTCTCGCGGTCGGAGCATACAATGCTTCCGCCGTGTATATATTCTCTAAGGCAACGTGCGAGAGAGACAGATCTGACACACACGTTCGATGTTGTCTCTTTACCTAAGCTTCAACGCCGTACATTAGAATGAGCAGTCTATCTCTTATATATCTATGGTAGCACATAGATAGCTTTTGTACTCTGTAGACTGTGGAAGTGTGGAGCGGAAGACGCGCTACTGCAACTACGGGTTAGATAGACCAAAGATGAGGCCCGAGGCCCGAGGTCTTCAAGGGTGATCAAAATCTTCACTAGCCGCTACTCTCACTAAAATTAGGAAACCTATAATTTATGAAGATCTAAAAAATTTTAGTCATTTTTCATTTTGGTAAAGAGTTTTATTAATATTGAAGAAGTAACACATAATCTATTTTATAAACCAGCCGCAACTTGAACAAATACATAGGAAATAACAAAATGTCAATCAACAGTGCCATTAGCAGCAATATTAAAATGTATTTTGTATCCAAAATAGACCTTAAAAAAATAGACGCCCTACAAAAAAACAAAATCAAGCCACAACTTTGCCAGTTGATTTTTCTTACATTGATTCCCGAAATTTAAGTTACGGCAATTTTCGAATTTACTGTAGTGAACTTCCCTGCCAACGGTAAGAATGTGCGTATACCCACAGACATATGAGAAATAGACTGCTCGTTCTTGTGTACGGCGCTGCTGAAGCACAAGTAGAAAGAGACACAACATCGAACGTGGGTACCTGTCTCTCTTGCACAGAGCCGACAGTAGGGGTCAGTAAACTAAGGCCAGCAGACTTGTGAAGTTGGCGCCCGAAAATATTAAATATTGATATTTTGCACCCATTCAGGGCTTAAACAATTCCTCCTTATTTGCGAATTTATCCTCCACTTGAATTTTTGTTTGCGGATCAATTTCCGAGATATTTGCAGAATAAAAAGTCGAAAATGGGCGCGGCGCTGAAGTATAAAAAACTTTGTTTTAAGCGCTAAAGTAGGTTAAAATCCAATTCTACCTGTACGATTCGATTCCTTCTCATTTACGAATTACGGAAGTATATAAATTAATGTAATTAAATGTCACAAAGTTTGTAAATAGAGTGAATCTAGTAACTTTTGTCTAGTGACTTTTGGTCCAGTGCTCCGCTCCTGTTGTTCGGTACATGTCGTTTCATTAATCTATTAATTATTAGTTATAAGTTATTTAGCCTTTGGGTCAATACACACACGCACACACACACATACACACATATTTTTCGTTGACTATGCAATCTAGTGTAAAACCATTTAATAAACATTTCTTTTAATTAAGTACTTTTAAATTTATTACTGGAGCTGTGTTTGCATAGGCTTCGTTTGTAGTCTGTTAAGGTCACGTGATCATTTATGATAAGTGCGAGTGAGACGGTGACATCATGCTGTCTCCCTCGCACTTATGATAAATGATCACGTGACCTTAACAGACTTACTAACAAACAGAGCCTTAGGCGAACACAGCCTGTGTCACTTTTATCCGTTTCCACTTGTCGGTAACTTGATCTTCAATTCGCCTGATTAATCATTTCCGCGCGAAATTTGAATACTTGAGCTGTTTTCTAAAACTTG